GGCTTCGGCTTTCTGTGCTTCCTTCTGCCGTATCTGCGCGTTCTTCTTGGCCTTTTGCGCGATGAGCTGCTTGTGTTGTGCCATCCTGGGCAGTGTCAGATGTGTTTAGAGATGGAAGGTGCAGGGGACCCACTCTTCGGGGGAGATGGTCTTCCACTCGATCGTGGAGTCATCGTAGGGGCGGCGGCAGGCGGGACACAGTCCGTTCATGGTCGTCTTGATGTTGTTGTAGCAAAACTGACATATCTGGCACGTGGGTCAGCATGGGACTCGAGGTGGTTCACCGAGTTTTGGCACAAAGGCGTACTTGGTAGCCGCATGGGCAGGGGCGGAAATTCCTGTCCGAGAGGTCGAACTCTTCGACACAGAGCGGGCAGCACTCCTCCTCGTCATCGTCGACGAACTGGTCCTGCTGCAGTCGAGACATGGTGTGTGTGGTTGCGATGTGTTGTTGAGAGCGGGTGGCGCTCAAAGTAGAGATACGTGGGGTGAGACGAGACCTGGGGGGTCGGGACGAGAGGTCAGTAAGGAAACCGCGGAAGTACAAATAAACGCCGGCCGGAGTGTCGCTGTCGCTGGAAGAGGGATCCACAGGAGGTGATGGGGGTTAAGAGGCTGCACCTGCGCGATGGCACACCAGGTTCCGCTTAACGCTAGCGACTTACATAAGCGCGCATTTGCGGGTGGGAGCTGCGAACTCGACGACGTCGACGACATCACCACCCGCAGTCGCCTTCACCTGCTACATCGCGTAGCCTCACCACCCTCTCACCGCACACAATGGCTATGCGGCTAGCTGTAGGCCGGCCATTGGGCGCCGCCGTCCGCGCCTCGGGCTCCTCCCGCCATGCAGTTCGCACCTTTGCCTCCACGGCTCTCCGGGCAAAGGAAGTCGCGGGTCCCGAATCGGAAACGCCAAACATGAGGGTGCGCATGTCACATGATATGGCGAAGACGTGGTTTCTAATGTAAACGCAGTTTGCCCCCCGCGACGAGACCGTCACGCTCAAGCGCGCCATCGTAAACCCGGCCGACCACTACAAAGAGAAGGGCGAGGCTCTGCACAAGTATGGCCAGTACATCATGTCATGTCTGCCCAAATACGTCCAACAGTATGTCAATTCACACCTGGGAGTAACTTCCATCTGACCATACCCAAGATTCTCCGTCTGGAAGGATGAGTTGACCATCTACGTCCCGCCCGCCGGCATCATCCCCACCTTCACCTTCCTCAAGTACCACACCGCCGCAGAGTACACACAAATCTCAGATATCACCGCCGTCGACTACCCCACCAAGGACCAGCGCTTTGAGGTCGTCTACAACATGCTCAGCATCCGTCACAACTCGCGCCTGAGGGTCAAGACGTACGCGGATGAGGCCACTCCAGTACCCAGTCTGTGCGATCTCTACGATGGTGCCAACTGGTACGAACGTGAGGTCTACGATCTGTTTGGTGTCTTCTTCGTTGGACACCCGGATCTGAGGCGGATCATGACCGACTACGGTTTCGACGGCCACCCACTGCGAAAGGACTTCCCCATGACTGGATACACTGAGATCCGATACGACGAGGAGAAGAAGAGGATTGTCGTAGAACCCCTGGAGATGACACAGGCTTTCAGAAACTTCCGTGGTGGTTCATCAGCCTGGGAGCAGGTCGGTCCTGGTGACGATCTTAAGCCGGAGAACGTAAGCTATCCTGCATCCTACTCTCTCGATGCAGCCTCTAACATGCACGCAGTTCAAGCTCCCTACGCCAAAGCCAGAGCCTCCCAAAGAGGGAGAGCAAAAGAAATAGAAGATTTAGAGATTTTGGATTGTATATACCTGCGAATGAACGTGCTCGTACAACATCCGATGGCCCACAACGTATACCCGCTGCTGTGATGATCTGCTCGGTGTAGTTGCTTCACTTGTCGGCGCTTTTGAGTCTGCACAATCCAGATTGCACGTCGGAGTAAGATTCACAAGACTTTCAGATGGAATTAGCCATGCTAGGCACAGGTCCGACTACTGCAGCCCGATCGCGTCTCGTATTTCGTATTTGAAGTCTCAATGCTCATGCCAAGCAGATCTCGCATTTCCCCGCCCAATTAGGGAAGCGCCTAGCACTGCACCTTCCTCCGTCAGTTCCCACTTGTCGGGTAAACATCGGTACCCGCTAGACAACGTCTTGCATGATCTGCCGTAGTATGGCTTGATGTGTAAGACGAACCACCATAGCTACCCATCGGAAGTCAAATCTTGCACGTTCTCACCCGGAACAGTACCCCGCTTTCCCCGTCTGCATCACAAGATGCCGACATCCCAGGATGAAGAGGCTTCGGGGTAATCTCCTTTGGTATCCTGAGTGGGCTCTTGAGCATGGATTGCTCCACCGCCATCACATTCATCCAGCTGTATCATACCGACGTTCTACCGTACTTCCGACTTCCAGCCAATCGCATGCGTTACCGTACTTTAGCAGTAATCGCCGTCGTCACACCCGTAGAGCTGTCTTGCATCACTGCGCCAAGGTATAAATACAATCAGGATTCCATAGATTAACATGCATCACCAAGATGAAGTCCTCGATTCTCTCTTTCCTCGCAGCTACAGCCACAGCCGCAGTCACCATGTCCAATACGACTACCACAACCATCAAGCCCTTCAGCCTCTCGGCTCCACCAAACACTGACATCTGGCGCAAGCCTCCCATGCACAACGCCTTCAATGCATCGACCTACCCAGAGCAGCTCCCAAGCTTCACCCTGAAGAACTTTCAGCGAGCGCAACTGTCGTTCGAGCTTCCACCATCCGACCAACTCCGCCAATACGACCAAGCCGGCCTCTTGCTGCATGTCACCAAGCCAGGTGTTCCAGACAACCAAACCAAATGGATCAAGACTGGTATCGAGTTCTACTACGGAAAGCCGTATGTGGCGACTGTGGGCTGTGATGCTTGGGCTGACTGGTCACTTACACCTATGCCTGAGTTCAAGAACGGTACTATGCCCGGCGCCACCATTGAGGCGAGAAGGGAGAGCGATGCGCTCGGCAACAGTCTTTGGATTTACTGGATTATCAAGGATGAGGCTGGCAAGGAGGTCAGCAGGCAGCCATTGAGAGAGGTCACCTGGGTCCTTGCTGAGGAGTACGAGCGATGGAGCGTGAGTATCGCAGGATACGTTTGTCGCCCGACCACTGCAGGTGGCGATGGGATGCTTGAGGCGGAGTTCAAGGACGGTCTGGAGATTGAGACTCTCAATCACGTGTAATGGGAGGGTGCGAGTTTGGCGTTTGTGATGGTACGTGATATCGTCACCTGCGGTTGCGATAGTAACTGACTGACAAACAGTGGAGAGTGTATAAGTCGCAGTGACGCGTGGATAGCCAGTACATATCTCAATCTGATATCTTATACCTCCATATATACAAACTTCTCCGCATATATCTTGCTCAATTAGGCTATCAGACCCACACCTTACGACGGCAGTGTGCAGAAAAACCACCCAAGTCTGCTCCCATGAGAGTAGCACGAGCCATCATTGGCTTTGGAGAAGGGTCAGCCGAGCGTAAGCGACGGTTTCTCTCATTCATTGAGCAAGCACAAACTCACTGCGCCTGCCTAGAGAGAGCACTGACCTCTAGGCTATATATCCTCATCGATTCTGATCTCTTGCTCCACACTCCCTCTTCGATAAGATTAGTTATCTAATTCAATATCCTCTACGATTCCCGACCATGGTCAACGTCCAATTATACTGCCCTTCCACGAAGAAGACCGTCGAGGACTTCTTCGTCACACCGTTCCAGACTCTCGAGCAAGTTCTACCAAGTGTACGACTTGCCCTCGACATCAAATATGCGGCGATATACACTACGGAAGCAAAACGCATCACCGAGCCAAGCACTCTTCAAGAAGACCAACGGGTCCTGGTAGCGGCTAGTGCGTCAGAGGCTATGTTGCCCGATGCACCATCTGAATGGGTTCTATACGACGGCGAGGAAGGCGACGATGTTGACATGAACGTCGAGTGCTACGGCCTGGAGTGGATAGTAAGTATACGTTGTTCTTTTCGCACATCAAAAGAACGTCACTGACTGAAGCGTAGGAGCTATGCGACCACGACAAGTGCCTGCACATCACCAGTCTGAACAAGCAGAAGCCCACAACTCGCAACAAGCTTCGTATCACCCGCGAGTACAAGCCTGTCGAGGCCGACATCGAAGCCTTGAACTCCACGACTTCAACTTCTGCACGTGTTGCCGAAGACGAGGGTCACATCGAGAGGTGTTGGGACGTCGCTGTCGAACACTTCTTGCCTACATCCATGAAGCCTGTCGCCGCCAAGTCTAGTTCGAAGTCGTGCGATCCTTCCACACTGGCTGTCCTTAGTATCCTCGCAGGCTTCACTCAGGGCCAATCTCGTCTCGCCCTAGAGGTCCTCGAAGAAGCGGTCGCTCTTCGCACTGGAGAAGATCAGGGTGAGGACAAGGATCCCGCTTTGCAGAAAGGCGATGTCTTGAACGCTATCACGCTCATCTATGAGCGGGCTGAAGTCATTGAGGCTAAGCTCATGAAGGGCAAGGGTGCAAAAGGAAAGGGAAAGGGGAGGAGGCGGCCCTCGAAGGGCACTCCGAAGAAGCTTGGCGCTATGTCGAGTTGAGTGAAGTGATGGATGGACGAGGCGGCTACAAGACGGGTCTAATGCTTACATGGAGTTACTTGAGCGAGCGAGGATATACCCGGAGTGTTTTGAAAGTGAGATTAGGGATGGGAAGTCTTACCCAGGCGGCTACCTTGGTTTTTACGGTATACATCAACTACGGATGATATCAATGTAGCTGGAAAGACAGGCTACAGAGTACAATTGCAATGGATCTATCAAGTTTGTGTTTGTCTACCAACCGTCTTCGTCACCAACAAGCAGATGTGTCAGGATATGTATACTTATATCTTTCCATAAATCCCCTCTTCCATCGTCCACATTTCTCCTCACCCATAAAATCGAAAAATGTCGGCACAGCCGCCACCAAGTGCACAACCAACAAGTGCGCAGGCTACAGAAGAGCCCGCCATCTCTAGTAAGTTCAACTCAAAACTATTCCCTATGATGAAACTACAAGCTCTCTAACTGAGCAGGCCAATGGCTTCTAGACAAGCTCAAGAAGAAGTCCCGTGAAGACAAAGAAGATTGTACGTAACCCTCCCATCTCACCCATGCTCTCCCTATCTTCCCCTCAACCTACCTCTGCATCGGGACATACCCCAATCGCCCATCCAATAGACCCATCCTAACCCGTTTATAGACCTCCGTATCCTCCGCTTCCACGTCAAAGAAAGCGCCGCAGAGAATGCATTGCAACAAGCACGAAATACCACAATATCCGAATTTGTACTACAGAAACTTCAGAGACTTGAAGGTGAACACCCGGAACACGATGTCGATGCGGCGAGGGAGTATGAGAGAATGACGAGGTGGAAGCTGCTAGTTGAGAAGGCTGTCAGTGATGCTAAGCATGAGGGATTGGTGGAGTTGGTTAGCAGGATTGAGGGGATGATCGACGGCGATTCAGGTGGACAGGCTGGGGTTTGATGATGCGGTCTGCGTGCAGTTTGTCTTGGTGGACTGACGTAGTGAGGAGCAAGCAAGAGAGTCTATTGGATCCATCCCGAAGTCGAGTTTGTATTTGTCTCCCGAGCACCTCAAGTACTAACAAATAAATGTCACCAGTATATATACGACCACAGACACCAGCGTCATATACTTAGGTACCAGCATCTTCACTCGATCTAATACACACCTGAAAGACAGCATCCCAAACGCATCGCTCAAGTATCTCCAAAGGAATCGACCAGCATGTCCGAACAAGAACAGCCACCAGGCCCGCAAATCTACATGTCCCAAGGGGATAAGTTCTCTTGTAACGAAGCCCCCAAAGCCCCTTCTTAAAAAGTCAACGACTTGCTAACTCGATACCATGAAGCGGTGACGGAATACCTAGATTTCCTCCAAACCCAATCACGACGTCCTAAAGAAGAATGTACGTACACCCCACACCCCAGACGGGCTCCTTCTCTGCAACCGTCACTTACGTGTACATTTTGACACTTGTATAGGCCTGACCGTCCTGAAGAAGTCCATTGACAAGAGCGTGAGACGTGTAGCTGAACATCGTGAACGCGACGAATTAGTCATAGAACTCGCTCAGTCAGGGTTAGAGGCTATGGAAGAAGGAGAAAAACGAAAGCGCGCGGTGGAGAAGCTCGAGTTTAAGATGAAGAAGAGAATGTTCGAGTCGTTGGTGGACGCTGCCATGCATGACGGCTTACAGAAGTTGACCGTTGCGGTCGAGGAAATTGTACGGAATCATGTGCCGAATGAGGCCGATGCTCATCAATCGTAGATGGAGAGGGTTGGCTAGGTTTGTAGTTTGCGTGCTATTTGTCCTAGGGCATTGATGTAGTCGATAGCAAGCACACTCCTGGTATAAATCCTAACGGTGCGGTGCTCGTTCACTCACGATCTTTATTATTCTTCTCCCGATCCTCTCTTACTCACACACAAACTCATCTCAGACCTTCCTACCGAAAAAGGGCTTCCAAAGATCCGCCGACGGCTATGTCAAATCAAAGGCCCTTAAGCCCACCCAGTCGTTCGAATGTGACCAGTAAGTACAACTACAACGTCCTTCTTCAAGGAGCAAGTAGCAGGTCTAACGAATTACAATGAAACAGGCTCATGGTTCACTCTGCCGCTTCCCCAGATATCTTCCCAAGACCGGGAGGCATGTATGTACCTAGCTCTCCTCCCTTTACCTCCTCACACCTAAGTGTTCTGCTCCAACTCAGACTAATCTACACGTTACTATAACAAGATACCATCTTATGTATTCTGACACATATCCAGACGTCCGCACCCTTCGCTCCCATGTCCACGATAGCCTTGTGGCCATAGAATCACTGAGAAGTGCTGGTGGTGTACCCCATGCAATAACTCGCGTTAAAGACCTGGAGGAGCAATTGAAGCGCGCGCGGGAGCATCTAGAGGAAGAAAAACGACGAGAGATGTTTGAGAAGGCAGTCCATGATGCTAAGCACGAAGGCCTGGTGGCGTTGCTTAGGAAGGTTGAGAACACCTTATGAGGATAGGAGTGGATGCTGTCACAAGCGTAAGGTATAGCTACAACATCGAAGGATGGGAGGTCCATTAGGTTTGTAGTTTGTCGACTTACCGATTGTCCTATGAACCGACAGGATGTCTAGCAAACCGCACGCAGTCCATACATTCATGATACTACGCTCTCTTATTCGCAGTTTCCCAGATCCGTCTCTCTTCTACCAATCCGCCATTGCACCTTGACCCACCAAACTACTTTCCACGTCTCCATCCCAAGGCCCTCTTCATAAACCCAAACCAAGATGTCCGACGACGAAGAAGCTCCACTCCCCGCAACCATCCAGATCTCTAGTAGGCAACCTTCCCTCCTCCTTCTTACAGAACCGCTACCGTAGCCATAAAAAAGAGCCAGCTAACCAGTCCCTCCTCAACAGCAGCATGGTTCCTATCCAAACTCCCACAGCTGTCGCATGAAGACAGACACGAATGTAAGTAACCATCGCCATGCTACCTACGTCTTTCAACACAGCCAAAACACGCTACTAATCCAACCTAATCCTTACACAGACAACGGCGTTCTCATCCGTAACATCGAAACCATGATGAAAGAGTTGGGATTGCCCGACCCTGATCACCACGCCGCCAATGTGAACGCCGATGCTGAAGTCGTGGCAGCAAGGAGATTAGTTGCGGAAATGAAGGAGCTGCAGGAGCTTGCGGAAGAACGTTTGGGATTGCCCGACCCTGATCACCACGCCGCCAATGTGAACGCCGATGCTGAAGTCGTGGCAGCAAGGAGATCAGTTGCGCAAGCGAAGCAGCTGCTGAAGCTTGCGGATGAACGTTTCCATCGTGTGCATGATATATCCATTGCTATGGGTGCGGAGAAGGGTAGGAAGATTGGAGCCTTGCTTACGCTGATGAAGAAGACTAAAGAGGCTATGAAGAAGACTAAAGAGGCTATGCGGGAGGAGGGGTGGACAGATCTTGGGGAGGCAAGTGAAGAACATGGTGACAGCTCTGATAGTAGCTGATTTCCAGGCTGTAAAAGAACCTGGTGACATGTAGATTTGGTAGATGATGCCTTACATTTTACTGACACCCCAGATCCACCGATTTCATTCCTGATCCTCATCCCCTTACGCCGCCTGCGCAGCTCTCAACCCCCCTCTCTGTCCGGCATTCCGGCTCCTAACCTCAGTCTGCCCAACCTCCAAATGCGTGCCCGCCCTGCTCTTCTCCAGCGACACCGCCGCCCGATCAGTCACTTCAATATAATCCTTGGCATCCCGCTCCACCGCACCGGGAGTAGAGACGTGAATACCCTCAACGAGAACCTTCTCATCATCCGGTATCTCCAGTGTAGTCTCCTTAATCTCGGGACCTTGTGTCTTTGTGCCGAAGGGCGGGTCGAAGCGCTTCCGTAGCGTTTCGATCATCTTGCCGAACCAGAACCAGTTCAGGCCGTTGAGGATGATGTTGGAGGCGAGGTAGGCGGTTATAAGCCAGAGGGGGACGGTTTGGCCTTCGGCGAATCGGAGGATGTCGTGTTTGAAGCCGGCGTTGTGGAGGGTGGTGTTTTGCGATAGCTTTCCGACGTCTGGGTCTGAGTGCGTGTATGCACCGGCGGCGTAGGCGTGGTAAACGTCGGTGAAGACGCGGACGGAGTTGTAGGATCCCCACACGATACGGCAGGAGAAGAAGGTACATAGCAGGATTATGCCGTTGACGAGCTGGATGGTGGTGCCGGTCATGTTGAGCTTATCGCAGAACCAGTGGATGTTCAGGAAGGGCGAGGAAAGTTCGTAGAGGATAAAGGTGCATGCGTAGTAGTTCACGAAGGGACGCTGTCACACGATCAGTACTCTGAATAGCTCCCGTATGCTCTGGAAAGCACCGTGGTCTACTTACGAAACCCAGCGAGAATACGCAGAGGGCACAGATAGCATGGAACAGCATGCCGGTACCGAATGCCTTGACATTCTGCAGCGTGATGACCAAGTCCCACAGGAAGTAGCCTCCTGCCATAGCTTGGATCAAGCCAGACGCTCCAGTATATCCATGCACGCGCTCTGTCGAGTCCATCTGATTCAGCTCCTTATCCGTCCACATGACCCATAGCGCCATTCCGCAGACCAGCGTGCTCTGCACAAATGACACGATGTGCACATCCCAGTTGAGCTTGGTTCGCGCGGTGAAGTTGGCGTATATCCGCGGGAAGAAGAAGCGTGAGATGGCGGGGGCGCCGTAGCTGAAGATAATCTGGTAGAATGTGAAGGCTATCGCGACTTCGTGGAAGTGCAGCGGCAGCGACTTCATGTTGAGGAAGTCGGCGACGGGCTGAACATATTTGACCAGACTCTCCGGCGGCGCGAAAGGGAACGGGTCGTGCATCGTGGCAGTCGAGTGTGGGGTGCAGCAGACGCGGAGGTAGGTGGAGGTGGAGGTGCGAGGCGTGATGTCAGGGCGGTAAGAGTTGCACGCGAGCAGGAGCGATGGTCCCTTCTTATGCAGGAAAGCAGCGGAGGGGCGTTCGGCAGGAAGGCAGAGCAAGAGCGGTTTTATACTCGGGTAGATACGAAGATCCAAGGCCGCGGCGGCACAATGATGCATGCCGCTCGAGAATGCCTGGGAAAAGGTGCGGATGACGACCAAGCTTGGTGCAGTCCCTTGTTCTAGGCCGAGATGCGATTAGCGAGCCGAGGACCCATCGCCCTGCGCCAGAGGCACACGACAGATTCCATGTCCACCGGGTCATTTTTGTGGAATGCTAAATCACTGCCACGGGACCACGTCATCTTGGATGCTGTTTTGTGTGTTTGGGTACAGTGCACCGCCACTAGAGGCGTCATGCCGTGACAAATCTCACCCTCTTCGGAAGCCGCATCACCGCATACAAGGAAGAAGTTGAACAGTATGAGAAGTAAATAGCTCAGAGGTTTTTATTGACTTGACTAACTTTAGTTTTGTAATAGAGTAGACTGCAGTGCAGCTGCTCGGCGTTTTCCTCGTAGAGGTGGTAGTGGGTATCTTAAAGCAAATATGTGATAAGGATGAAGACGCCGCGCTCAAAGCCCATCAAGTCTGACGTTCTGATTGTGCCAGCAGTTGATGCATTTATCCGCCTTCAACCTCGCAGCGTATGCTACGAGGAACATCTCTGCAACGTACGATGTTCTCTCGATTCTATCGAGAAGGAAGTAGAAGTCCTGCAAACTCCTATAGCTGATGATCCGATTGCTGTGACCGAGTAAATTTGCCGGGTGGGCGGTGAACTGGCTCTGGTGTGCGACCGGTAGAGGTGAGTTGAAGAGGGCATTCATGCGTCTAGCCTCTTCCATGGAAGATACCGGCGGCGTAGGTAGCCCAGAAAGATAGTCCGGCTGAGCTGACGCATAATCATGTGATGCCATGTTGATTGGTCCTGTCCATCCTCCTGTGTTCCCTCCAGGCAGAAGAGTACCTGCTGCTCTGTTTTCGGCCAGCCCTCTTTCCATGTCCAACTGTGAACCAATCCACAATGACCACACAGCTTCCGTCAAGTTGTCATGTGTGGGTACAACGTTAAACGCGAACCCCATCTCGTGCTCGTTGTTGAAAGGATAGTATCTGTTGGTCTGGCTATGCCTCCCACCAGGGAAATAGTCTTGGTAACTGACAGTATGATTTGGAACGCCGAGTTCGTCGTTGACCTGCTTGTTGAAGTATGCGTTGCGATGCTTCTCACTCATCGACACCAGTCCTTCTTCCCACATAAGTCGCTCGGCGACTAGGAAAAGTTTACGCACGTGGGCATGCGCCTCACGCTTCCCTCTGCAGATGGGGCAACAGTAGAATGGCATGTACTGAAGGTTTGGAGTTTGCGTGGCATGTGCCTTCAATCCCTGTAATGGATATGGAATGAAGTCTTGCCGCGGCAATGGTACAGTCGCGGACTGTCCTTGGCCCCGACTCGTACTTGTTCTGCGCCTTCTCTCAGTTTCAGCAATAGAGCCATTTTCGAAGCAGATGTTGGAGTCTTCCGGGTCGGCCAGAGGGTCGCATGCCGGGTCAATTGGGCGATTGCCAGGATTGGAAGTCATGGTGAGTAAGTTGTAGGAGAGAGAGGCCAAGAGAACTCATGATTTACACAGGTCTGTCAGACAGTCTTTTACACTCTTATTTGAAGCCCTGACCCAACATGAGGATGTATTACGAGTACTTGCGAGTGTCTCACTGGGGCTTTAGAGGGTCACCGTGGTACCGTGGTCGTGAGCGGGCCAAGGTGAGGGGACAGGCGAATAAACA